TTGAGTAATTGTGACCAAAATACTGACAGAAATATAGACAGTGAAAGCCAGACTGATGAGGTTTCACATGGAAATAAGGAAGTTACTGGGATCTGTAGTAAAGGTCACCCATATTATGCCCTAGCAAAGAACGTTGCTGCATTGTGTCCATGTCCTAGGGATCTGTGGAAGTTTGAACTTAAGAGTGATGACTCAGTGTATATGGTGGAAGAAATTGTTAAGCAACAAAGCATTCAAGATATGCTGTGGCTGCTCTAACAGCCTATGATCAGATAGATGTGGGAGCAAAGGAATGATCTAAAAGTTGGGACTTAAAAGGAAAGCAGAGCCTAAAAGTTTGGAAAATTTGCAGCCTGGCTGTGTGGTAGAGAAGAAAGGAGATTTTCAGGAGACGAATTCAACCAGGGTGCAGAGCAAAACTTGCTAGAGATGTTAGTATAGCTAAAAGAAAGCCAAGTGCTAATAGCCAAGACAATGAGAAAAGGCCTTGAAGGCATTTCAGAAGTCTTTCAGACTGCCTGTCTCACCACAGGCCCAGAGGCCTAAAAGAATAGAAAGTAGGCTGTTTTCCTTATTTTTCTCTTTTATAGCACTCTGTTTTGTTGTTGTTTCATTTTTAGCACTCAACTTTCTCAGTGACTTTTAAACTGAAATTAGAAGGAAAAGAAGGTAGCTAGGTAACAAGTTGCAGTCAGATGAAGAAGACAGTATTTCAGACAGCAGAAAGAGGCTGGAGGAAGGGAAAGAACCTAAAGTAAGAAAGATCTTGAGAAGCTGGAAGAACTAAAAGAAAATCAGTGTGGCTGAAATGCACTAAGGCGGAATTTGACTTCCCATTCCCAGCTGATTAAAGTTCACATGCTTGTCACGAACCTTCACATTCGGCCCTCAACCTATCTTTCCTATTCCCCCTTATATTACTTTTCTTCATTTGTAACCCACTCTTGACCACCCCAGATTACTTCCATTCTTACCTACCTCAGATCACGTATTTCACACCTCTATGCCATTATTCATGCTATTTCCTCTGCCTAAAATGTTCCTTTTTTGAAATCTTTCAGATCCCATCAGGCATAATTTATCTCTCCATTTTTTGTAACTCCAGAGTACTTTGTTTCTAACCCTTCCACTCCATGTCTAAGACTGCTTTATATTATAATTATGTACACATTTGTGTTCTCCACAAGATTCTGACTATAAACCATGTCAGTTATTTTTATATATCCTTCCCGATCTTCCAAACATAAAACGCAGTGCTCAGTAAACATGTGCTGATTTGATATGTTAATATGAGTTTTTGTATTAGGTTACGGCCATATCATTTTTAACTACATACTTGATTATTAGTATTAAATTACAAAGAATGTGTTCCATAACAATAAATAGCTTGTAATCATAACCAACTTTTTTGTAGAAAACCAGTAAGGATTATAGTTGAGAAGTAAAAAAATATTCCTTCAAGATCAGTCAGACTAAAACACACTATGGAGAGTTCCCTTAAAAATCACTAAGTCATGCCCTATTGTTAAGTTTTCTTGTCACAGAGAAGACTAATCTGAAGATAAAGGAAAAATATGTTTACCACTTTTAAAACAACAGAAGCAGTATAATTACTTAATAAGGTCTTCTGAGTGATAATTGTTCCAACATTAGTCCAGCCAGATATGTTCACAGAAATGTGCTAACCTCTTTTTCCCCGAGTACCATTCAATGAAGAACCAATGTAAAACCAGAGGAAGCATTGCCATAAATCCAAGATAGAGCCAATCATAAAGTTCAGGAGATTCTGTGCAAGGCTGACAATATTTTTGTGCATTCGTTCTCTGTCCTCTCGGGCATACCTACAATAAATAAAACCAATATTTTGTGTACAGATATTATTTTGGAATATTAACAACCCCCCCATCATTCTATAAGACATGCTATTTCAGTTTAAATATTTAAACTGAAATTATATGTGCAGGTTTTAGAAATTTTAAAAAAGCATAAAATAAAAAGGAATCTATATTGTATGTGCTATTTTTGTACAATGCTCTTAAAAGATTGCTTTTACTAAGTTACTAAAAAGTTGATTAACATTCAAGGAAAAACCTAGTTATTAACATTATACAAGAATAATTGCAGATAAATGTTCTGGATTCATGATGTTCAAATTACTGTATAAGACACTGTATTAAATCACAAGAAACTAGAAATTATAAAATTATTAAACGTTTTAAAAAATAATACAGACGTCAAAATGCCAACATAAACAATGACTGTTTTAATAAAGCCTCCATATTCTTTCATATTTTTTTATTTTATCTTTTTTTGAGATGCAGTCTCTCTCCGTTACCCAGGCTGGAGTGCAGTGGTGCAATCTCAGCTCACTGCAACTTCCAACTCCTGGGTTCAAGCAATTCTCCTGTTTCAGCCTCCCGAGTACCTGGGACTACAGGCTCACGCCACTACACCCAGGTAATTTTTTTGTATTTTTAGTAGAGACGGCATTTCGGTATATTGGTTAGGCTGGTCTCAAACTCCTGACCTCAAGTTATCCACCTGCCTCAGCCTCCCAAAGTGTTGGGATTACAGGCATGAGCCACTGTGCCTGGCCCTCCCTATTCTTTTATAAATTAATGAGTATAATAAGAAAAATATTCTACCTGTGATAATATTTCAAAAGCCAATAGATTTTACAATATGAAATAAGAAACAAACATAAAACTTACCCCACATTCTCCATATATTTCAGTTGAGCCATTTTTAAATAATAGGGTCTTCCCACAGTAAAGTCCAAGGCATGCTGGTTGAATATCGACAGCTTTTTAAAAACAAACGCCAGTATAGTAACATCTTTTGTGATTATAAAAAAAAATAATGCAATAATAGCTGAAGCACTTGGTAGAAATGTCTCAACACTGTTTCAAATTTTTAAACATGTATTAGACAAAAGTATGAAGCATCTTTAAATTTAAATTTCTTCTTTTACACTGTAACACTGCAAATAGTCATTCTGGAATCTTGCTGTTAATAATGTGCCTTAGATTAAGGTCCTCTCCCAGCAGAGCAGGATCTATCTCCAGAACTCAAAGCCTAACCCGGTATGTCTCCAATGGCTCCAGCCAGCCATTCTCCTTGATTAGAGGATACTTTTGAGTTTCACTGATTATAAAGTTCAAATATACATGTATTTTTAAATTAGAGCACCAACAGAGAGTCACCATCTTTTATTTTTCCCAGTCAAGACATTAAGCACCCACATGTATACACACGATTATCATCTATGTTCATAACAGAACACATTTTCACAGAATAGCAGAGAGAACGTAATGTCAGAACAGAGATAAGTAAATTACCTTTATAAAAAGCTTCCTAGATTGTCCTAACTTTTATCATATTTGTGGAGGATAAGTGTAAATTTCATCAAGGCTGTCACGGGGCCAATACTTAGAAACCACTGCCTTAAAATTAATCCCCTGATCTCAAAGCTGAGGGGAAAAGCAGCTATTCCTTACTAAAAAACCCAACAACTAAGAGCCTAATACGTTGTCTTTGACCTCATTCACAAGAAGAAATTATGGAAGGAGTTTTCTTCCTCACTGACATCTGACTCCCTTCATTTATTGATTCAATCAGTCAATAAACATATATTCAGCTTCAGATTCCACTGGTTAGAGGCCACTAAAGGTCCAAGGAGAAACAGAGTTCGTGCCAAGAACCTACAATCTAATGTGGATTAAAACAAACTGTGGTCTACACGTGAATTAATTCGAAAAATCATGCAACTTTTCACTATTCTTGAACAGTCATTTCCCAGATTCTTCAAGAATTCATAGTCTAGACTGCCTGGTCTACAATGCCCTTTCTCCTTTCACATTCAAGTAGACTTTTTATTTCCTCCTCCTTATGCTGCTGAGAGAAAAAGAGAGCATTGACTAAAATGTCTCAGGTTTAATATTTTCGCTTTTAACAAATGTCTGACTTGGCTTTTTAAACCTATTGGCTTCTTTAATGGGCACTGATTTTTTGGTAACCAATTCTAATCACAATGTTCTAAATAAATAAAAATGAATTATGTTTCAGATTTTTCAAGAATGCAGAAGCGAACCAATTGGAAACTTCTGTACGGGCTTTTCATCTAGTAGATGCTTAATAAATACATGTGATTGCCAATAATCTAAAGTTTCTTAAAATCCAAGGCCTGAAAACCAGTATGATAAACTGAACTGAAATAAACAGCCTATTACCTACTAAACAAAATCCAAGTTCCAAGTGTCTGTTCAATTTCCCCTTCCATTTCCTTTGGCGAACGATGGTTAAAGTTTTAAGACTATTTCTTTGTAACAGTCTTGCCCCTTTGGGACTGGCCCTATAAGTTTACGTTTGAGGTTGAAGCAGGAGACAAAATTATGCAGCAACTTGCTTCTGCTTTACTGTTTTTTTCTGCACTATCAGCCGCGCTTTCAATTCTGAAGTCAACCACCCTCATGCAAGTGTTCCCTCCACATTAAACTAAGGGACTGAAGGGACATTTTCGACCAAACAACAAAGGCCTGGCCTTTCCGCCGCAGGCAGCGCGCCTCCCCTGACTACCGGTCCGGGGCAGAGACCACCCCAGCCCAGCAGGAATGCGGGGCCCGGCCCGAGGGCGGGCGGGGTCAAGGGACGAGCCTGCGCAGCCAGCCGAAGGCCGCCTACAAGAAGCCAAGCCTGAGGCCAACCGTGTAGGAAAGCAACCGGGACTAACAGAAACGTTTCCCGGGACCTTGGCGACCACTCACCCATCGGCCGCCTGAAGGTTTTGCTCGAGAAGCCCTAGATCGCGGATCTGTCAACTACACCGAACATCCGGGCCACAGCGGGCTCGGCGGCTCCGCCTCCCAGTGACGAGGACAACCGTTCCGAAGTTCCTCCCCCGCTTCCGGGTTTAGGCTCCGAGGCTCCGCCCCCAGTGGGGCTGCGTCGCGTCCCGCCCTTTTCGCGCGGAGTCACGGAGTAGGGGCTCCTGAAGCCAGCTCGCGCGGAGTCACGGAGTAGGGGCTCCTGAAGCCAGCTCTGCGGGGCTGTGCTGGTGTCCCCGGACGCAGACCATGGACAGCGCGCTAGCGGTGCTCCGGCCGCCTCCTCATGATCCGGGGACGCCGGCGCTGTCGGTGGTGGACATGCATACGGGCGGCGAGCCCCTGCGCATCGTGCTGGCGGGGTGTCCGGAGGTGGTCGGGCCGACCCTGCTGGCCAAGCGGCGCTACATGCGCCAGCACCTTGACCACGTGCGGCGACGGCTCATATTCGAGCCCCGAGGGCACCGGGACATGTACGGAGCAGTCCTAGTGCAGAGTGAGCTGCCAGACGCGCACCTGGGCGTCCTGTTCCTGCATAACGAGGGCTACAGCTCCATGTGCGGCCACGCTGTGCTGGCGCTGGGCCGCTTCGCCCTGGACTTCGGATTGGTGCCGGTGCCGCTTGCGGGCAGCCGCGAGGCCCGCGTCAACATTCACTGCCCGTGCGGGCTGGTGGCCGCCTTCGTGGCGTGTGAGGACGGCCGCAGTCGCGGCCCGGTGCGCTTCCACAGCGTCCCAGCCTTCGTGCTGGCAACAGGTAACGGGCGGGACCCTTCCAGCCTAGGGCAGAGCTGCAACCGGGACGCCAACTTAACCACGTTAACGGTCTCTCTGGGCTTGAAGTCTCGCAACTAACCCACCCCGCGTGCCCGTGCAATTAACAAAAAGGTAAATTACTGCGAACGTGTGTCAGTATTTGCTTGGTGTACGCAATTTCGATTTTCCCTGAGGTTTTGGGAGACCCTTGAGGAGTGAGGAATTCCGCGTTTCCCTTACTCAGCGCCTCCCTCTGCCCTCGTGAGGCATTCCTGGAGTTTCAGCGGTGCATAAAGCGAGGTACGATAGGGTCAAGGAAAGGGCAAAGAACAGCCAATGTACCAGGGTTCCAGGCTGGCTCAGATATGCTTGGTAGACACATAATCACCCTTAATAAGTTACTAAACCTTGTCTCTTTTCCTCAACTTCCCGACTTCTTTGAGGAAAAATTAAATGAGAATGAATGAACAAAGCAGTTTGTAAATCACTAAGATACACACGCTGCTTTTTAAGAACAGGAACACACATTGCCTGGGTTCAAATCCTGGTAACCCCCTAAAGCTGTGCAACCTTAGGCAAATTACTTAATCTCTCTGTGCCTGTGTTTCTTTTACCTCATAGAGTTTTCTGTTAGGATTAAATGAGAGTATGCAAGATACTATATTCCTGGAGATAGATTGCAAGGTATATTTGATTGCTAGAGTTCCTTAGGCCTATTGAGCTGTTAAAAGGTTTTGCTGGATTCCCTAGTACAGATCCTTTTACAGCATGTCATGTGAAGCAGAGCATCTCTATAACCATAACCCTTACAGGAGAGAGATCCCTCATGGGGATGACCTGGCAAGCTGGCATCTGGTTTCTCATCTGAGTACTTCCTCCCAGGGGCTGAATTCTATCAGTAAGAATGCTTTAGTCGTTGTGGCTGGAAGTAAGCCAGGAGTCAGTTCACCAAAAATAGTTATCCTTTTCTTAAAAATCTTCAAGCCATGCAAATCATCTGTTAGAAAGTTGGACCTTGATCCCTGCCTGAGAAACTAGGTTCCAGATTAGCCTGATTATGAATGATATGTAATAGAACAGGCACTTTTAGAGCAACCTCAGGCAGCTGAAACCCAAATGTTAACGAAAAATGCCTCTGGAGAAATTGATGCCATTTTCCCATAGAATGGTGTCACTTCCAGATTGGGAGGCCACTTGAGGGAGACAGAATTTATGTTTACAATTCCATTTTTCAGATCTCAACAGTTTAACTAGTGTGGCTACCAGAATTTCCCCCAGGCAACTCCAGCAGCAGATTAGAAACACTGTAGACTTTTGTGGGAAATGACAGCTGGCAGCAGGAACATGAACTACATTGCATTCCTGGGTCAGTTAGGGCAGGGTCAGCTAACTGCTTGAGCACAGTAGTTCCTGAGAGCATTACTGTGTTACAGTACAATAATTAGTGGGCATTAAAGGTCACTGAGTTAAGAAAAAGAAATGCTATGTTTTCTACTTTGAAAAATGAGTACAAAGCAGACATGGTGTTCAAGGTCACTGCCCCGCCCCTCCACATCTCAGTGACCTGTGCTAGAGAGTCCATGTCTCAGTATCACAGTCTATAAAATGAAGATGACAACAGTACCCACCTCCGAGTCTTGCTGAGTTCATCTCCACCCAACCAGGCTAAACTGCAAACTCTTTTGTTCACAGTATTCTAAGTGCCTAGAACAGCAGTCAATGAATATTTGTTGAATGAGTAACTAAATAAATGAAATTTGGAGACGGATATGCTGATTGATAAATGTAAACATCTGTTCCTCTTGAGAAACCTATTTCCATTGGAAATTAAAGTTTTGGCTGTTGAGTCCCCAATCTGTGCCAGGAACTCCCCACACATGGAATTTTCAAAACAACTCTTTTTAGGAGAAATAGCAGTTACAGTTTGCACAAGAAGACACCAAAGCCACACTAAATGGAAGAACTAGGGTTGGAACCCTGGCCTATCATATTGCTTCCCTCTCATCCTTGAAATTTTTTGTAGTTTAAGGAGATATGTTTCAATTTTATGGAATACTGCTTAGTGTATTACACCTCATTCACAGATATAAGATGTTTTAAAATCTATCTTGTTCAACAAAACTCTAAGGAGGGCAAAGCTTATGTTTTATTCATCCATGTACTTCTTATATCTTCCACAGTAATCAGCACATAGTAGGTGCTCACTAAATCTTACAAAGTAAATCAAATTGAAATTTCAATGATATGCTTGTATAGAAGAAAAGAAAAACTCTTAGATTTTGGTTTCTGCTTAGAGGTTGTGTATTTTAGTAGAAAGGATTTGGGCTTTGGAGTCACCTTATCCTAGGTTTGACCCTAAGCTCTGCCACTTTCTTGGTGGGTAAGCCTGGGAATAATGTGAGGATAGTAAGTAAAACAGTACCTACTTCTCAGGGGTGTCGTAATTAAGGCACTAATGTAATGAATTAAGGGGCTATGTATGTAAAGTACCTGGCATATAGGAAGTACTCGTGTGAAATATCTTAATTTTTAATGTTAGTAATTTAGTGATTAAAAATGAAATAGTCACAGATAATTGATGGACAAGAGTAACTGTAAAGGAAATTTGATCCATTTTAAAGAAAGGGAAACTGAAACTCAGGTGTAGCACCTTACCCAACCACCCACCCTAAGAAAACCAGACCCAAGATTCTAGAAAGGGTGGGCCAGGGAAACAATTGTAGGCTCAGTGATGACTCCTCCTGCAGCAGCATCTCCACTCTGTCCAGGCCCTGGGATTGGTGACTGATGCCCCATTCAATTGTTAAAATCAAGAGAAAAGGGCAGGCCAACTGAGCCCTAGGACTATCACCTGTGTCTCCTGGTAAATGCTGATCTTCACCCTCACCTTAGCGTTCCATATTCTAGGAGTCCCTCATTTCCATCAACTTCCTCATTCTCCTTTCATTTAACTTGCTTTTCATGTTGCACCAGCATCAAGATAAAGACATTTTTGATTCAATTTTGTTGTTAAGATCCACAGCATATTTTACTCTTTTGATTATAAATTTGCTCTGTTTTAAAAAAAAAAAAAAAAAAACATGGTTAAAAGGGTGTCTGTGGACTAGTGTGGACAAATAGCACACTGGTATCTTTGTATGACTTAGTATGAAAACTCAGGAATCCAAGATATATTTTCTTTCTCAAAACTTAATTTCTGAAATTGAAACCCTCATCTGTCCTTTTGGTTCACTTAGCCTCATCACTTCATGTGTTGTCCCCTTTCCTGATAATGTGTGAGCAAAGTTTTCTTAAAAGTGCCATGGCCTTGGAGAGGATGGCACTTCAGTCCTCAGCTTACACAGTTAATCAGTGAAGCAGAGCAGGAGCATCGGCTGCCCCACCCTACCTGGTCCCTGCTGGCTGCACAGCCTCCCCATCCTCTGTTTCTCCACATTCTGCTCCTGTGGTGCCCTGGGGAAGTTAACACAAGTCCTCCCTGCACTAAGGACCTTCAGCCTCCACTCTTCTTAAGCCAGAAAAAAAATTATCTCTAGGAGAAATATTTCTCCCTTCAGGACACTCCTTTACCAACAGGTATCTTTCCCCTGAGAGCTTAGGCTTCTGTAAAATAAAAGCATGAAAGACCAGCTTTCTTCCCTGCCATAGACTTCCCAGAAAGGCAGTGATCACCAAGCTAGCTTAAATTAGGGAAGAGGAAAAGAGGAAAATTTGATAAGCGCTAAAATAAACATCACCCAGCCTCCTTTCTTTGGAAATACAGATTCAAGATTTCAAACTACTGACCTTCAGGTGAAACTTTGGAGATGTTGAGACTTAAAATGCTCAAATAAAAACCCTGATGCAAAATGATGCTGTAGAGGTCAGTGATTCTACAATGGCATTTTTGTGTGTGTTTGCCTGCAGGATATGTTAATGAGATGAAAATAGGTAGATGAGTATATATAATTTATATAGAAAAATATTTTATTAAAATTTTTGTTTTGACATTACAGCTGAAGAAAACTGATTTGTAAGTAGGATCCAAGATCCTTACTATTTTAAACCATCTGTCATAGTACAAGTGAGGAATTGACATCTTCCTTCATGGTGTTCACAGGGATGCCCCTGGGTTTCCCTCTCTTGGCCTCAGTGATGTTTCCTAGAAAAGATTCTCAGAGAAGTTAATGAATATGTCTATATGAGTTGGGGGAAGGCATGGCATTCAGTTTATAACTTCTGCAAACATCAAGTTAAAAATAGAAAGACGCATCTAGCTATTATTCACCCGATGCTTACTCATTTTACAAAATGGATTTTTACTTCATTCTTTTTTATAATAGGAAAAGAAAATCCCTCCTCAAAAATGAAGATATTAAAAATCCTTTGAATTTCTTTGCTAAAATACTTATTAACAAACACATCTTATTTCCAAACACATCTTTTTTTAGATCTCATGGTGGATGTTCCTGGACATGGAAAGGTGGTGGTGGACATCGCATATGGTGGTGCATTTTATGCATTTGTGAGTGCTGAAAAGTTAGGACTAGACATTTGTTCTGCAAAGACCAGGGACGTTGTGGATGCAGCAAGTGCAGTGACAGAGGCAGTAAAAGCTCAGGTCAGTATTACTCTGCCCTCATAACCAATGCCCTCCTCTGTGGCATGGAGGAAATATACATTATTATGTCTATAAAGAAAATACTGTTTAAATTATTAGTAGTACTAAGAATAGGCTACTTATTAAAATCTTAAACTCTATAGCAAGTTTGTCCAACTCCTGGCCTGCAGGCTATATGCAGCTCAGGATAGCTTTGAATGTGGCCCAACACAAATTTTGTAAACTTTCTTAAAACATTAGGAGTTCTTGCATTTTTTTAAGCTCATCAGTTATTGTGTTAGTGTGTCTTATGTGTAGCCCAAGACAATTCTTCCAGTGTGGCCCAGGGAAGCCAAAAGATTGGACACCTCTGTGTAGAGCAAAACTACCTATGAATTCTAGCTTTACCACTTGTAACATATGTAACCTTGGATAAGTTACATAACCTCCATATGCCTCAGTTTTCCTATCTGCAAAATGGAAATTAAAAAATACCTGCTTTGTAGGGTTTTGAGAATGAAATAAGTCAATACATGTAAAGGACTTAGAATAGTGCCTGGCCAATAGCAAATGTTCAGTAAATGATAATATTATTTTTTTGAGACAGATTCTTGCTCTGTCACCTAGGCTGTAGTGCAGTAGTGTGATCATAGCTTATTCTAACCTTGAATTTTCACGCTCAAAATGATCCTTCTGCCTCAGCCTCTGGAGTAGCTGGGACCATAGGCATGCACCATCACACACAGCTAATTCTCTGTGTGAGTGAGTGAGAGAGAGAGTGTGTGTGTGTGTGTGTGTGTGTGTGTGTGTGTGTGTGTGTGGTGTGTGAATGTGTGTGTGTGTGTTTATACAGAGACAGGATCTTATTATCTTGCCCAGGCTGTTTTCAAACCCCTGGCCTCAAGTGATCCTCCCACCTCGGCCTCCCAAAGTGTTGGGATTACAGGTGTGAGCCACCACAACCAGCAGTTACTAAATTTAATAGTACATACATACCAATATAGTTTATAGTTCCTTAAATGTGTAGAAATGTGTTTGTAGAATTCCACAAATTTTAAATGCATGTGCATGATCATTCTGTAAAACTTGAAAATAATAAATGTAAAATATAGCATATAAAATATATTTAAGCCTGATAAGACTTTTTCTTATTTCACAGAGAACATTAATTCCTATTAATTTTTTTTTTCCTATATTGCTAAGAAGTTACTCAAATAACTACTTAAGAAATCTAGTTTTTACTTGGGAAGCTATTCTGATAAAAATCAGTTTACATAATAAATAATTGTAGAATATTATTTCACTTTCACAAGTCTGCCATTTTACCTTGAAATTGGGACCTATAAATAAAACACGTGTACAGTATTTGAATGTTTGGTATATGAGAATTTATTAGTAGTAAAAAGTAACTTATATAAGATAGTGTTTAATGTATTAATAATTATTATGGTCCTATCTAATAGTTCTGAGACTTTGTTTTAATATAATTTATAACTTAACAAAATGAGAATATATACTATATCAGTATTCTAAATTATTTTTCTGGTACTGCCAGTACCAATATGTGTAATTATCATAGTAACTTTTGAAGCTCTAAATTTACATCAATTTTCTGCCCCATTAAGCAGGACAGCTAATAGTTTGAGTTAACAGTTTGGCACAAAATAATTTCTCCTGATTTTTAATGAATTCAAGAGAAAAAGTCCTGGGTATCTTAATAAAAGTTGTAATTTTGAACTTGTCATTTGAGTTTGAACTGTACAAGGTGGCAAGGGGTGGACTATGAGTGGGGAGGGATTCTGAGAAAAATGAGGACAAGTTCTATTATTGATGTATCAGACAGTACAATTAATTACTTTGTGAATTGTTGACGATTCATACTGCTGAAGCAGATTTAGGAAAAGGCCATGGAGATGGAGGGTTAAAGTTAATATAAATTCATTTTCATTCATTCACTCTTAACAAACATTTACCAAGAACACACTGTATGTATGTCAGACACTATGCTAGATGCTGGAGATTCAAAGAAAGAACAAATCCCACCTTCAAGGAGATAGCTCCAGTGAGGGAAGTGAGCATACCTGTGAACATTGTTATGTTGGAATGTGTTATAGTGGAGATGGGGCATATCATTTTAAGAGGATGGAGAACAAAGATTCAATCTGCAGGCCACTTTAACATAGTTTCAGATGGACTCTGGATGTTAAGAACCCAAAGCTGTTGCATTGCTTTAAATGACATGTAAATGGAAGTAGAAAGTACTAATTGTAAGGATACACAAGGGAAGTAAGATGATAGCAATCTCATACTATAAATGTTGCAGAAATCCTGGAAAAGTTAAAAGAACTAGACCTTTTAAGAACAAGTAGCACTGCACATTTGGGCGTGAACGTACTATTGAGTGACTTAGCAGTCCCTGCCAGTGCCTGCTTCTTTCTGTGCATATCTGCTGCTTTTAGATGAATCAACTGACTTCATCATCTACAATAAATCTTTTTTTCTTTTATTTTTTGAGATGGTGTCTTGCTCTGTAGCCCAGGCTGTAGTGCATTGGTGCAATCTCGGCTCACGGCAACTTCCACCTCCCTGGTCCCAGTTCAAGCAATTCTACTTCAGCCTCCCAAGTACCTGGGATTACAGGCATAAGCCTCCATGCCCAGCTCATTTTAGTATTTTTTTAGTAGAGACAGGGTTTCACCATGTTGGCCAGTCTGGTCTTGAGCTCCACTTTGGCCTCCCAAAGTGCTGGGATTACAGGCGTGAGTCACTGCACCTGGTCAATAAATCTTTTTTTCATTCAATTGTTTCTGTTACCTAATAGCTTCTGTATTCTTACAGCTTTTCCTTATTCATGTCCTCTCACAGTCTTTGTCTCTATCATTGATATTAACTTCAGCTCTAGATGCTCAGAGCCTGATTTTTCCACATCATCCTTTTGAAGCTCCTGAGAATAAGATTATGATTGCCTTAGCTCATCCTGTTCAAGCAGCCATTGCCAGCCTGTGGATTGACCATCCTGGGATCAGTGCTTGAACGACTGTGTGTATTTGGAGTAGGAGGGGTATAAAATAGAGCTGCTCTTTTAGCAAAGGCTATATGCAGGACAACTTCCTTACAAGGGACTCAAAGTATGATAAGAATCATAATTTCCAATAAAACTATGTTTCTTCATCTAGACAAAGGCATAATTTCTGGCAATTAGTATTTATGTTGCCCAAAAAATCTATTTTAAAGATGTTAAGAATTAAAAAGTTATGTCTAAGAATGACTCATTTACATTATAAAGATAAATTTGAATCAAAATATTTATTTTGCATTTAGTTGATCATATCATTTTTTCTTATTATTTGCAGTTTAAAATTAATCATCCTGATAGTGAAGACCTTGCCTTTTTATATGGAACTATATTAACAGATGGAAAAGATGCTTATACCAAGGAACCAACCACCAACATTTGTGTTTTTGCAGATGAACAGGTATTAAAACTGTTATGTTTAGGCACAAAAGCCAGGTAATATGGAACTAAAACACTGTTAACATTCTTATCTTCAATTATTCTGAAACAGGTTGACAGAAGTCCCACTGGCTCAGGAGTGACAGCCCGAATTGCCTTACAGTATCACAAAGGGCTTCTAGAACTGAACCAGACCAGAGCCTTTAAAAGCAGTACAACTGCCTCAGTATTCACAGGGAAAGCTGTGAGGGTAAGTGACACCCTTAGCTTCTTATTTATAAATGTGTCATTTATGAGACTGAAGAGGCCTGAGGTGGCTGTTGGATAAATTTCTTCACTCAGCTCTCAGGAGAGAGTTTTAAAGAGTTTAAAAACTTCTTTTCAACTAGGATATGGATTCTCAAGTGTGATCTAAGGTCCTTTCCATGGGTTCAGAAGGTCAAAACTATGTTCACAATAATGACATTATTTGCTTTTCACTCTCATTCTCTCAAGAGTGCACAGTGGAGTTCTTCAGAGGCTATGCGTTCTATGATAACCCAACCAATTGAATGCAGAAGCTAGATATGAGAACCTAGGTGCTTTCTGTTAAGCCAGACATAAAAGAGGTTTGCAAAAATATCAAACAATGCCACTTTTTTCATAATTTTTTTTGTTTTGGCAAACATAGTTATTTTCACAAAAATATATTATTCATATGTTAATAATGGGTTTATGAGTTTTTAAATGAAGTAATAATAGATATATCCAATTCCTAATACAGTAAATATTGATAGATATAAACAAAAACTCTTTGGAGTCCTCAAATCTTAAGGTATAAAAGGGTCCTGAGACCAAAAGGTTTGAGAACCACTAAATTGAGGTTTGGGTTTTTTGTTGTTTGTTTTATTTTGTAATAGTGTTTTATTCTATATAATAGGATGTGAAAGCCCTGAAAAGTTATGGAACATCAAATTAAATATGCTAAGAGCTAAGTAATGAATCTTATCACAGTGGTAAATGAAATCTTCTACAGAATGATTAATCAACATTTAGCAAATGAATCTACTCATAAACAGTCCTTTAACATAGCAAACAATCTATCCTAATATAGCTGTTTTTAAGATGTGGTGTTTCTGAATAGTAGAATTTCTTTAAGAATCTGTGCATCACATGATGATCTTAAACATGTGAAACCATTTATGTTGTATGCAAAAATTCAGAACACGTTTTCTTCAGAATCTGAAATGAACATAAAAATAATAACATACATGTATTGGATACTTCACTGTCCATCAGTTTCCAAGCTAAGCATTTGATACATGCCATCTCATTTAATCCTCACAAGAATCCTACAAGGTCAGTACTGTATTGTTATTATCCCTTTTTAGTAGATGATAAAATGGAGGATTGGAGAAGTTAGGTAATTTGCTGGTGATTAGTCAGTGAGTAGCAGATCAAGGTAATGAACGTGGGTCTCTCTGAACAGACCACATGCTGTTAAGCACTACGTTATGTTGCTATCAAACAAAGCAAAGGTCAATGAGGCTTTAATATTATAGGAGCTGTTATGAGAATAATCTGGGACTGTAATGTCCCCCCAAATAGAGAAGGAGCCCATAAACCAAAGAATGACTCAAACAAGTCCAGGTTGGCAAGTAGATGCATTTATTAGGACTTACATACAAGGCACTCCTGGGCAGCAGCTAGACAACTGTGGAGACCTATCCTGCCTCCTGTCTATAAGTTGCTTTTAAGCTAATTTTCTGGCTCTTTGCTTACTGTGTATGTGTGACAGGACTGTTTTCCTTGGTATGTTCCCAGATAATCTCTGGGATTTTGGGTTCTCAGGGATATCAGCTCTTTGGCTGGGTACCCTTGGCTTACCCCCCAGCCCTCAGGGTTCAAGCAGTGGACACACACCTTCATGTAACCTGGTGAAGGACCCATCACACTACAGCAGATTTATAAAAAATAAAGTATTATACCCTAACAATATTTGATATTTTACCTTTAGCTTCGGTTATTCTTGTCAAAAATTAGAACATAAAAGGATATGCTGAAGTTAAGGTTTCCAGTTATTTGTTTTATAGTTATTAATCTTGATTGCCAGAATGTCTTCACTTGCATCTTGCTCTCTCCCTGTCTGTTTGGGCTCATCCAGGCTCCCTGATGGTACCTTCTCAGTTTCTTCCCCTGCCCCAGCTTCCTTTCCTTGTCATTCCATTTAGATGTCCTCATCACTTCATCCTCAGCTTCCTTCTCATCTCATCTACAATTTGATGCTGCTGAACAATTTCATCCACTTCCTAGGCATCAGTTCTCAACCACCTACTGATGATGACTCCCAAACCTTTATCCCTACCAGGCCTACCTACCCTGTGTCTTTCTGAATCTAATGCTCTTAATCCCGAGTGTTCACTATACTCATCTCTAAATGATTGTCCCAGAGGTATCTCAAACTCGCCTTGTTAAAAAGTTCTTCCTTCCTCTTTCTAAAATATGCTCTTCCTTTCTCTCCCCATTGCAGTTAATGGCATCACTAGCATCATTTCCAAGCTAGAAACTATGGTTTTAATTAACTTATTGCTGTTCCTCAGTTCCCACATGCATTGGTCAAGAGACCTATCAGTTCTGCCTCCAAACTATCTCTATGTTAGTATATATTCTTCTCCATCTTCACTGAAAACTACCCTAGTGACTCTGGAATCATTCAGTGAATCGAGATTAGATCTTAACATGTTTCTGGGTCTCTTGTCTCTCTTTTCTCCAGATTGACCCCCATTTTACAGCTACAATTATCTAAAACACAAGTCTGACCGTGTCACTCTCCGTCAAAACCTTCCCTTGCCTGTAGAATTAATTATTGGCCTTTTCTTAACGTGATAAAAGTCAAGAGTACAATTTTCAAGTCAGATACAATATGAGTGCAATATTTTGATAGTGTACTCCTTTAATCTTTCTTTTTTCAGGAAGCGAAATGTGGTGATTTTAAAGCTGTTATAGTGGAAGTATCAGGACAAGCCCATTACACAGGTACAGCAAGCCTTACAGTAGAAGATGACGACCCACTGAAGGATGGATTTCTTCTCAAGTGACTTCTTCCATGATTGTAAGGGCTTTCTTCTTAAAGTAATCATTATCCATAAGTAATTTTTTCTCTAAATTATGTGGAAACCAATATTCAAATTATACATATAAGCTAACTTCCATTTTTCTAAAATACTACACTGTGGCTAAATATAAAGTCATTATACCTCATATTTGCAACTGTATTTTGGTATAAATATCACTTATGTCTAGCATACAAAATGACAGAAATTTAGAGTCTTTTTCTAGTGATTAACATATCAGGTAAAATTAAAACAGTTGTTACTTTTAAAATACTGCTTTATAGTAATTACTACTAATATCATATTTGTTTTAAAGGCTCTTTGAATAATATGTGAAATTCAGCAATGAACTTTCCACGCTTATTATTTTTCTCTTCCATTTTTTGAGTAAAATCCCTCTCTGTAAGCAGCATATAAATGAGATGGATTATTATAAAGTACTCAATACTTTGCATAATAGCCTGGGAAAGGTCGAGTTGGAGTCAGCTTATTTGTTATAGCTGCTGCTAGGGTGTTCTCTGTGGCGCAAAGCTCAGCTTCTACACCCACAGGTACTGAAGTATCAGAGATTGATGCTAAGAAGACCAATTAGTAATCAGACTTTTGCTATATCTTCAGGGCTTTTATAAAAGGGGTTCCTTATTGCATTATTAAAATACAGGAATACAGTAGAAATTAATCAGTGAATCTGTACAATGGAATGAGTCTCATACTCTAGCAACTGCATGCCAGGTAGATTTAAAACATGAAATAAATGTTTACTACTGGCATTCCTGCTAGTTAATACTTATCTATGAGCCTGTTAAAAATAGGTGAAGCATTAAAATATTCCAAGATGTGACACTCTCAGAGAATTCAGTAGACTTTTGTGAGATAGGTAATAGTATTTTATTTTGGAGCCTCCAGAAACTGAAGTAATTTATTCATTTAATTGGCCTTATCACCCAGACAGTCTGTATTGGCCTTATAATTAGTCTGTGATTTAATTACCTAACCAAAACGAAAGCTGTAATGTTAATGTTTTTTATTTCTCTATTACAGAAAAACAGGATTTTTTTTTTCTCTCCACAGAATTCTGTAGTAAATAAATTACTTGCCTCAAAAAAAAGTCATTATCACTAACTCAATATGACCAAATAATTTTTGCAGATCACATCATTATACTTAAAAAAATAAAAATAAAAACGGAACCACTATTTTCCATCCAAAGCTTACAAGTCACATGAATTTGAAAGAAAATTGTTTAAAAATTACATTTTGTAGCATTTTATAATCTGTCAGGTACATAATGAAGTACACTAGGAAATGCATATTGTGATTCCACTGCCTCCAAGGTAGAGGATATTTTTACTCCCTGACCTTGTTTAGAATTGTCAGCACTTAGTGATAATTTTTAAAAAGACTTTTAGTTGGTTTTATTATTGTTCTAAAATTCTCTACAGATAGCACACCCCTTTTTCAACTGCACCATGGAAAACTACTCTTCCTGCCCTACCTGTGGTATGCCACTGTTTTTATCCCATTTATACCCTTAAGGGAGATGCAAGTTGAGCATGTTAACTAACTCTCCTAAGGTCATTTAGAGGCTGCAATCTAGGAGTTGTGACTCCCAGTCTAGGATTTTCCTACAACACTTCCTCCATTTCTAAGATAGGATGGCCATAACTTGGTCTAGGATATAGTACTTTAACAAGAAAGTTATATTTCTTGAATACTAAAAAATAGATATTACCTAAGTCTCCTAAATTTCAATCCAAACCAGAGCTGAACCTTTGCGGTAGTGTTCATTCCTGCTGCACTTCACCCTGGTTCCCATGGAGTCAAAAACACTAGGGAAATCAACTCCTTCATCTCTGACCTCCACATGTCTAGTCAGTTGCAAAGCCCTATTGATTCTGCTGTCTAAGTACTGCTCACATCTATCCCTTCCCATCTCAGTGAGGATCTTGCCTTAGCAATTAACCTCTTTCAGGTGTCTCCAATCTCCTGCTGCCCCCTCACTGGTTCCTTCCCCTAAGTATTTAAATGTGCTAATTGTAAACAAAATAAATCAAACATCCCTGTCCCTCCTTCCCTCTGTAGATAGCTGTCACTGCTAACTCTTTCCCTTGGTATTTAAACTTCTAAATTCCTTACTGTCTGCTCATTGGGTACATTTTCTCATCCATTTGCTATCAAACTATTACAATCTTGCTTCTACCTCATTACTCGTTAGAAACCTTACCTAATTGCCAGGTCTAATGATTTATGTAATCCATGGTGGCCCCTGCTGCTTGCTCCCTGAAGGCAGGTGTGGTCCATTTTAGAACAGGCAACTCTGATCCCTTGATGCTGAGCTCAGCCACAGAACCAGTTAGGCTTAGGAAGTTAGTACTCAGTCCGCATTAGTGCCCACCAAAGTGCTGCAATTGTATGGGCCCAGGCCCATCTCCTCTTCATCATGAACTCACAATGCGCTTTGCTCCAAGTCCTCCAGACACAATGAGAATTAGGTCACCCTTCTTTTCAACCCTGAAAGCCACAAATTCCATACTATCCCTCTTTAGGACACTGTTCTTCATACTTCAATGTGCATGTGAATCACCTGGAAATCTTAAAATGTAGATTCTCATTCGTCAGACATGGGGTGGGCATTTCTAACAAGCTCTCAGGTGATGCTAATCCTGCTGGTAGTAGTACTGTGAGTGGCAAAACTTCTGGACATGCCTACTTTAATTACCTGTTTGGGCCCAGGCTTTACAGGTGAGTCTCCTCAACCTGTGAACTTCTTCTCTAAGCTCTGTAACACATGAAAGCCTGTTTTAGCTCTCCACCAGTATGTAAAGGATAGCAATGACCACAAGATCACAAATACATTCTCTATAAGAGGCTGGGAAAACTGCCACACCTTTTCTGAAAACCAAAAACATAAAACAGCTGATTTCTCAATAGGCCAATGTGCCTCATTAACTGTATCATTTACCTGCCTAGGTTTGCTTTGTTTATCTGCTTCTTAACTTTTACTACTCCCTAGCATTACATCCATCGTCCTTTTCTTTCTTCCCTGACTACTCTGTCCTTAAATTGTCACATTCATTCCCATGGTTTTCCCTCTTATAGAGAGGCTAACCACATCCACATCCCCAAATTCCAAGGTCCAAGGCTATACTGTAGATTCATTACTTAGAGGACAAACCAAGCTCATTTTCCCCCTAGATTGTGACCCTCTTCCCATATTCCTTAACTTGACTAATGGTACCACCGTCCACCAAGCTAGGGACTTGGGATTGACCCTTGGCTTCTATTCACAATCTTTGTCCTCTCCGTTGATGCTCCCAAGGTGGATAACGGTGGATTTCTCCAGCTATTATGCCTTTCCCCTTCTTTTATCAACAACACTCTCCTTTTTCTTTGGGAAACTATCTGCATATAGTCTTACTAGGACTGCCAGGAGACCAGTACATGAGTCAGACTTTCTCCCCCACACTGAGATCTTGAGAAACAACATAAGGTCTGAAAACTGAAGCTGATCTATTCCAATGGTGGCCTAAAGAGATCACTCCATCAGTTTCTGCTCTCTCTACCCACAGGACTTCTCTGACTTCTCTTTTTGGAGCTGTTAGGCTGTCATTTTGTAAATGGAACTTACCCTGTCCTTCCAGTAAATTCGTATATTGGTTATGTGAACAAGTGTCCTCTCTGTGTTACTTATGCCCAAAGAATCCTAATCTATATATTAATCCTAATCTATATACTACCTACCATAATCTATACTCGACCTCTCCTTCTTCACTGCAAAGGTCCACTTCAGACTCTCATTTTTCACCTGGGCTATTACAATGCCTCTCCTTAACTGGTCTCCCAACTTCCAGATTCTCCTCTTACAAAAAAAATATTTTTTTGTATGTGGGCATTTGTATAGAAGTTTGCTAGAGTGCTAAGTGCCAAGGAACTCATAAACAGGCAAGATTTAGGTCCTCATATAGTATACAGTGGGAGGCAGATAATAGATAATCACACACAAAAAAATTATAGACCAAGGTAATGTGCTACAATGGAAAATATAGAGTGCTGTGAAACTAACAAGGGAACATGGTCCAATATGTGAGAAGAGGGTATCAATTAAGGAAGGCTTCCCCCTATGGACTAACGTTAATGTAAAGAGGAGGATGCTAAGGAGGGGAGGAGGAAGATGGAGCTTTCCAGGCAGAGGGGATAGTAAGTGCAAATGCCCTAAGATGAAAGGTTTAAGGAAGTCATAAAAGCCTAGAGGGGTGGGAACACAGCAAAAAAGATGGAAAGTGGTCTCAAATGAGACTAGAAATGAAGCAGGGGTCAAATCATGCAGTGCCTTTTAGGAAATATTAAGGATTGGGGTCCTTATTCTAAAATAAATGGTGAAAGCCAATAGGATTTTTAAAAAGAGGTATGGTCTCACTATGTTGCCCAGACTGGCCTCTAACTGCTGGGCTCAAACGATCCTCCCTCCTCAGCCTCCTAAGTACCTGGGACTATAGGCACACACCACTACAACAGCCTAACTAGAGGAGTTGAATTAAGTAAGTGGCATGAATAAATTTATGTGTGTGGTTTTAAGATCATTATGCCTATCTGCCTCCAGTGTAGGGACTGGATATGGGAAGACCAGTTAGGACAGCAGTGACAACAGTAGTCCAATGAGAGGATGAGAGCCAAGATTCAGGATGGGGGAGTGAATGGATGCAAAGATAGTCTGCAACTAAAATCTGTAGGATGTGGTTGATGAACTGGATGTGGACTGGTGGCAAGGAAGAGGGATTTATAAAAACTCTTCAGTTTTGGGCTTATAAGCTAGAGGAATGGCTCTACCAATATTCTGAGATACTGAGTATTGAGGACATAGTTTTTCACAGAAAGTAGGAGGAAGATCATGAATCCATTTGATGCACGACCAGCACATCAAGGAGAAATGCCAAGTATCAGGACATGTAGGTTGGTGCCACAGACAATTTGAGTAATGAATATATGGATAATCTTTGAAGTCCTGGATGTGAGTGAGATGAGGCTGAGGGGGGAGTCCAGAGGAGCTAAGAACAGGGCTTTGATGAACTCCAGCATGTAAAGGCAGGTGGAAGAGGATGAACTGGCAGAAAAGAGGACACTCAGAAAGATGAGGAAGGAAGGAACCAGGCGAGTACAGTCCTTTTGGTCCTGCTGTACCATGCACTTGCTCATGGCCCTCCCTTGTGCTATTAGCCCCTCCTCCTCTAATGATTTTCAGTCTCCAGAGCATGCCTACAAGGCCAATCATAAGGTGGTCCCAATAAACTTTGGTCATTTATTTCCATTTTCACTCCCCATCCCCAATATCCTGGAATTCAGACACTGCTCACTTCAACACGGTTCTTCCCCTTTCTTCTTTTTTAGGAAAGTCTAATGTCACCTCTTGTACAAAGCCTTCATTAGAAAGAGTTAGTCATCTCCAAATGATTTCATTCACATTTTTAAGACAATATTTAGCATGCTGTAATATACTGTGTTTGCCTATGGCTGTAAGCTTATTTGGGCTGGGTTTCATATCTTATTTGCTGTTTCCTAAAACTAAGCACAATCTTAGAAGATTGTGTTTGCTAAATAAATTAATGCATGATAATTATATTTTTGTCTTGATTGACAAAATTAAGACAAAATCAGTCTAGATTAAGCTGGGTTTCATGGCTACCAAGAGGACATTTGGCAATATCTGCAGACATTTTTAGTTGTCACAGCTGGGAGAGGTGCTATTGGCATCTCTTAGGTAGAGGCTAGGGATGCTACTGAATATCCTACAGTGCATAGGTGGCCCTTGCAACGAAGAATTATCTAGCCCAAAAAGTCCATGATACTGAGGCTGAGAAACCCAGTTTTGGTTTGCCACCTTAAACGTTCTTCTATTTATACTGTAAATTTCCTGTAGGATTTTTTTTTCTGAATGAAATAAGCACTCCAAGTACTAATATCATTGATTCTAAGACCTACAAATGTATTGTCATTCTTTAGAGCAGTGTTTCTCAAATTTGTGCATCAGAATCACCAGGAGGTCTTGTTAAAACCTAGGAGCCTGGGCCCCACCACAGGAGTTTCAGTAGATCAGGAGTATCCTATGCACTGCAGGCCTGATAATTTGTATCTCTCAAGGTTTCCAGGGGATGTTGTTGCTGCTGATGCAATGTCCATACTCTGTGAACCACTGCTTTAGAGAAGAGTCCAGGGTTAGTTAACCTGAGCGTTTATCACACTTTTCCCCATGAGAGACCATCCCCAGAAAATTGAGATGCAACTTCCCTAGGCACCTGTGCCTTTCTTTTCCTTGTGTCTCCCAGCCAGGTAGCTGGAGCTGCATCTGTGGTAATTGCCAGGCTGGCAGCACTTTAGACTCAAAACATACCCCATTCCTGAGAACAGATAAAGGCTGCCAGCAGAGGAAGGCACCAATCCCTCTCCCCACATTTATCAGCCGATAGGGCCCTGAGATCCAGGCCCTTGGAAATGAGGTAACATCTAAAGAAGATACATATCCTAGCTCCTCAGAGCACCTGTATCAAAATCACCTACGGGGTTTAGAGTCATGGGCCCATCCTCAGTACTGAGTATCAGCCAGAGAATGTGCATTTTATGAAGCTCTTGACATCAGTCGTTCTCAAAGTGTGGTCCTGGGACCAGCATCATCATTACCACCGGCGAACCCGTTAGAGATACAAATTCTTGGGCACTTCCCCAGAGGTATCTGAAACACTGGGCTTGAGACCTCCTCACTTGTATTTTAACATGCCCTCTGTGAATTCTGTTAACTCAAGTTTGAGAACTATTGGTTTAAATTAGTCCAACTCTCAAGTTTAAGATGTCTGGATGTAGACTTCTGGATTTTTCCTTCACTTCAGGTTCTAGATTCCTTTCCTACCTGTATACGCCAAAAGCACCCACAGGGAGCAAAGCGCCTCCTGCTCCCCAAAAGGCCTGCCTGTAGAACATTTGTACCCTACAAAAGAGAGAAAGAGTGAATGAACTTCGTTGAATCTGGTCATTTGTTTGCATGCTGGTCCTGTTTATCTGGCCGGACAGTGGTCCCTGAGGAGGTCTACCTGGCACTCTCCGAAACCCGAAGCCCGAGGCTGGTCAACTCGGGAGAGTCTGTGTCTCGCCTTTGCGGAGGGTACTAGGCTGACGTCCCGCCCCGCGCTCCTGCGTAAACACGCGGTACCCTTGGCAACACTGGAACCCACGTCAAAGGTTCCGCTGGGTCCCCGGCTACCGCCACGCCTCCAGCCGAGCCTGGCTCCCCGCAGCGGCCGCTAACTCCCAGGCCCCAAGCCAGCTCTCCGGCCGAGCGGCCACCACCCCCGGTACGGGATGAGCAGATCCGCGGCCGCCACGGGGCCCCATGGAGGAGCCGCCGCCGCCGCCGGCCCGTCCACCAGCGAGCATGGCCTTACTGGGCAGCCCGCACCCCGGCGCCCCCTCAGCGGCCGGCTTGCCTGGCGGGACTTCCTCCGCGGCGACAGCGGCCGTGCTCTCCTTCAGCACCGTGGCGGCCGCGGGGGCCACGGGGCTGGGGAACCTGAGCGACGCGAGCGGGGGCGGCACCGCTTCCGCGCCAGCTGGCGGCGGCCTCGGCGGGTCCGGGGCGGCGCAGGAGGCTGGGGCGGCGGTGAGGCCGCCACTGGGCCCGGAGGCGGCGCCACTGCTGTCGCACGGAGCGGCAGTGGCAGCCCAGGCGCTCGTCCTCCTGCTCATCTTCCTGCTGTCTAGCCTGGGCAACTGCGCGGTGATGAGTGTCATCGTAAAGCATCGGCAGCTCCGCACCGTCACCAACGCCTTCATCCTGTCGCTGTCCCTGTCGGATCTGCTCACGGCGCTGCTCTGCCTGCCCGCAGCCTTCCTGGACCTCTTCACGCCGCCCGGGGGCTCGGCGCCTGCAGCCACGGGGACCTGGCGCGGCTTCTGCGCAGCCAGCCGCTTCTTCAGCTCGTGCTTCGGCATCGTGTCCACGTTCAGCGTGGCGCTCATCTCACTGGACCGCTACTGCGCCATCGTGCGGCCGCCGCGGGAGAAGATCGGCCGCCGCCGCGCGCTGCAGCTGCTGGCGGGCGCCTGGCTGGTGGCCCTGGGCTTCTCCTTGCCCTGGGAGCTGCTCGGGGCGCCCCGGGAACTCGCGGCGGTGCAGAGCTTCCACGGCTGCCTCTACCGGACCTTCCCCGATCCCGCACAGCTGGGCGCGGCCTACAGCGTGGGGCTGGTGGTGGCCTGCTACCTGCTGCCCTTCCTGCTCATGTGCTTCTGCCACTACCACATCTGCAAGACAGTGCGCCTGTCGGACGTGCGTGTGCGGCCCGTGACCACCTACGCGCGCGTGCTGCGCTTCTTCAGCGAGGTGCGCATGGCCACCACTGTGCTCATCATGATCGTCTTCATCATCTGCTGCTGGGGGCCCTACTGCTTCCTGGTGCTGCTGGCCGCTGCCCGGCAGGCCCAGGCTACGCAGGCCCCCTCGCTCCTCAACGTGGTAGCCGTCTGGCTGACCTGGGCCAATGGGGCCATCAATCCTGTCATCTACGCCATCCGCAACCCCAATATTTCGATGCTCCTAGGGCGCAACCGCGAGGAGGGCTACCGGACTAGGAATGTGGACACTTTCCTGCCTAGCCAGGGTCCGGGTCTGCAAGCCAGAAGCCGCAATCGCCTTCGAAACCGCTATGTCAACCGGCTGGGAGCCTGTAGCAGGATGTCCTCTTCCACCCCGGCCAGCGGGGTGGGAGGGGACGTGGCCATGTGGGCCCGCAAAAATCCAGTTGTACTTTTCTTCAGAGAGGGACCACCAGAGCTTGTGACTGCAGTGGCCAAACAGCCTAAATCTGAAGGTGGGGATACCAGCCTCTAAGGCGGTTGGGATGGTCAGCTTATGAAGGCAAATTTCCACTCGAGTCATTTAATGATAGAGGATTTTGGGGAGAATCGTGGATTTCATAAAGCCAAACATTTAAAGCTAGAGACTGGGGGAGGCTTACCACTTTCCCCCAACACAGCATAAAAGACAATGTCCCTTTCTTCAAAAGTGCCAAAAGTAATGTAAAATGCAAAAATTAAAACAACCTTAAACCACATAACCAAACATTGTGAACTGTAAGTGCCAAAAATGACAAAAATAACATTCACAATCACTGAAAACCTCATATTACAGGACCACCCTGTGAAACAAACAAAATATTGAATGCAACTAGTATTGTTCAGCTACATAGAGCATCAGGAATGAATGGAGACCCTAAGAGCTGCTTGAAAGCCCCTCTAAATCACTATCATCATCCAGCAAAATTTTAGATTCTAGAGCTTGTGTTTCTGACGTGCTTTGGGTGCTTAGATTGGGAGTGGAAAAGTCTAATCCCTACACACATTGCTGCACTTCCTCACCCCACCCCCTGATAACCTTTGTGGGAAATTTCAAATTCATAACCCATTTAAAATCATTTTAGGATTTTGAAAAGGTGGTTGTTATTAGGTAAAATTCAACCATCTGAAGGACAAATAGAGGTATGAACATAAAGAAATGTGTCTTTTAAATATTTTCCAAGATTATATGTAAAAATTAACATTCCTTCCACCCGCATCATACCCCCAAAATGATCTGCCTTGGAAAACTTTGAAGCTTTATCCTTACTCTAACCTGCTACTTTTATTTCTGATAAATTTTGGGATGTTGCTCTCAGAAGGCTTTCACATTTAAAAAAAATTTTCATTGTAGAAAATATTTGAATTTTGAGGTAAATATGATTTTTGAATATAGCCAAAAATGCAACTTGAAGTCAAGTTGATTGAATAAGGTGAGTGATGCCACTTTATTTAAATTATTATTATTTTTTAAATGAGACCTCTATAAAGCAACAAAATTGGCTTTCCTATGTGGTTTCAGCCAACTGAAAATGGTTCCAAAGAGGAATTCTAAAAATATTTTGAGAAGCAGCCTCTTGGAATTAACATAGACTTTTCCAAGAAGATCCTAATCTACTTTTAGAAATTTGGTGTATTTTGTGTTTTTTAAAATATATATGATGGTTGCTTTATAGCTATGACTTGTCTAAGATAATGTAGTAGATGTGGGACTATACATAACAGAGCATTAAAACACAGACCTAAAGTTGGAAAAGAACTTCAAGCAAACTGAAGATACCTTCAGAAATTTACAAATCAATGTTGCTTTTAACATTTCTATCTTATCAGAAAAGGTGGGTTTTTTTTTTTACGATAATTCAAAAGCATAATTCAGGATTTGTGTATGTGACCTTTCCTGTATTAAATAAGACTACACAAAGAATCATTTACTCAGAATTTTTTTAAATGTTATTTTTTCTTATTTCTTTCCCTTAATCCTGCCCCTCTTTTCTTCAATATTTCACAGCCTTAATTGAACAAGTTATTTACAGTTGATGTGAAAAGACATTAGCTGTCATTTGAGGATTTCAATATGAAATAGCCAGCATTTTCTTCTTGTAAAGTATTTAAATATATTTTTTAGTATTTCTTTGTTTGACAAGTGGGTACATATCATTATTTTGTAATCAAAGGTGGAAATACATGATTCATGTCAAAGCTAAAAATGTTTTAATTTTTTCTGCTTCTCAGGGTATCATCACAAATCAGAGGTTTATAAATTGTATGTATTTTGCTACACTCAGTGTAGTACAAAGTAGGTGAAGTAATCTCTCCTCTCTAGCCCTTACTTTATAAAGCATATATAGACTTCATGCAGCCGGACTAACAAAAACAAGTATCTGCAGTATTTGCCTGTTAAAGCCAAAAAAACATTGTGTATTTTTTGGCACCGAGTCACTTTTGGGATTTAGACAGAAATGATAAAGTCTTCCAATTATAAAAGACATAGAATAGGAATTACACTTGTGAATAAAGGGCAGAAAGAGAGAGATCTAGAGTAAGGAGGTGAGCATGTTGCAAAATAGTGTGTTGCCTGAGAAGAAGAATTAAAGAAAGGCATTGAAAAATAAATGTGATGTAGAATAAACCTACCTGGTGAGTGAAGGGAAAATCTGAGAGATTGAAAGTGACAAGGTGATGGCACGAAGGACTTTAGGGAAGAAAAGGAATTCCAGCCCCACCTCTTCAGTGGTAGGAAGTTTTAGGAAAGGCATGGCTTGTGAAAGAGACCATTCTGTTAGTGGCTCTAAGAGTCATGGTAGGCAAGAATTGGAGGGGAAAAAGAGAAAGTTGTTCATAAATTACTGAACAATTTACAATGCTGTAAATTGTTTGTTTTTAATCCAAGGCTCTCCAACTATTTAGTGGTAGAACTGGGATTTGAACAATAGTCTGTTTGGCCTCAAAGCCCCATGTTTGTTTCTTTCTATCCCCACAGAAGTCTACAGGTAAGGAAACCAAGAATGATCAGTTACTGTACTGTCATCATTTTCATCAGCATGACCATCATCTACCATTTCTGTTTTCTACTTTTTATAAGGGCAACTTCCTGGGTACTAAGGCTACTAAAAAGCAGAAGCCACAGTACTCATCTGCAGAGGGCTTATAGCCTCAGCAAGGACATTGTGGCTTTGTGAGAACAATCAGCCATAACCAGTTTACTTGTGGAGAAGAAAAGGTGTAGCATTTTCAGAAGAGGCTGTCAAAGAAAAGAGATGAATTTGGAAGCAAGAGATATGCAGGTATAGATCAGCAACCCATTTGACCCAGTGTAAGTACTTAAACAACACCTCAAAAGATGAAGAAGGAATGATTCTCAAAATAGTCTAAGACTTCGACGTTTCCTCATGCTTACTGTGAGTATACAATTATAGTGACTTTGTGGGGAAAGGAGAAATAGAGGCTATGAAATATTGAAATGGATTAAATATTGAGTACTATGTAAAAGCCAGAAGGTAATCCTTCTTATCTTATTCTGCTCCCAGTTTGGCTATTTCATTTGGGTGAAAATAATAACAGCAACAAGTAATACTCTGTATAGTAGGTGCATTAGCTCATATATCCTCAGAGCATTCTTATGAAGGCATGCTATATTATCACTGTCCTCATTTTGCAGATGAGAAAACCGAGGCACAGAGGTGTTATGTGATCACACAGCTAGTAAGTGCTAAATATGTGATTTGTACCTGGCAGACTGGTGCCAGAAGTCCCCTCTTAACCGCTATGCTGTACTCCTTCTCTTTTGAAAAAGACAATGAGAAACCTGGAAAAGAGCCAAGGAAGATAAAGACAACTATCAAAGGGATGGAAAAACAGCATACAATTTAAAGGAAAGATTTTTTTTTTTTAATTTGGAAAACTATTTATGTGTGTTTATATATATATATATATATATATATATATATATATATATATATATATGAAGAGATTCAGAGCTGTTATTTTCTGGAATAATTCCAACTCAGGATAACCCCAGTCATCCATCTTCCCCATTCCTGCTCCAGTGCATCTGAGCACCACTGGAAAAAAAAAATTATAGAGTCAGATCAATTTGTACCCCCTGCACTTAGAATCCACAGCCTTACCTGGCCCTGCCACCCTGCTGGCAATCTGAACATTTTCACTTGTCAACTCACTTCTTCTGCCCACTTTTGTGACCCTTCAGACTTTTTCCACTGAAACATTTAACCAACCTAACCTCTTGAAATATGACTTTTGGTGCTACTTCTCCAAGAAAATAGAAGCCATTAGATACATATTTCTTCATATTTTAGCCACCAAACCTAACTAAACTGGATTTGTACTAGTTCTCAGCTCTATTTTCCATTTAAAATAAAGAAGGTGGTCCCTTCTCTAGCCTCAGGAATCTCATGCTAGCTATTATTTCTGTTTCCTGGTATGCTTAGCCTTCCCACTGAACCATATCCCTACCATGAGCACTTAAGCACGCTCTAATCTCTCACTTGAGAGGAAAAATTCCTATTCTTCCCTCCTTTTCTCTCCCTCAGCTCCTTCCCTTCAGCCAACTCATCAAAATAATTGCCTGTACTTTTACAACTGATCTAAATCCTAGGCTACACTTTTAGTGGTGTAAGAAAGAAAGTCATTATTTTTTTGCAACTCAGTTATCTTATTCTGCCAGATGGCAAAACTTAAGACAGCATCTAGGTTCTAGGGGCTGGTTAGTGCCAATGTATTGGTGAACCACAAGTACTCAGTTGTCATCCATTCATCCTGGCATCTGCCAAGACATCCGTCAGTCTGTCTTTGGCCCTATATCCATGGATTGCTGCAAAATTATCTCACTGCAGTCCAAGAGGACCCAGCTCAAAGACCACCTTAGAGCCCCTCTCTAAACACAAAAAAATCATTACTCCATCTCAGAACCCTAGAAGACTGATCACACCCATTACGAGGAGGGACACAGGCTGCTTTTTAAAAAAAACTTTTCAAACATTTTTGATTTTCAATATGTTTTGATGTTGTTGGGTCAATAAATCAAAATTATATATAAAACATACATTGAGGTTTCACTATATGAACTATTACTATTTTACTATTTACTGTAACTCCCAAGTAAGACAAAGGAACATACTTTGTCTTACTTGGGAGTTACAGTAAATAGTAAAATAGTAAAAATGCTGAGAGATAGCAGTGATGGTTCAAAGGCTAAATACATTTATAATTTAATACAAATTGCCACATTACCTTCTCTATAGGTTGTACCATTTTTCACTTCCACCATTAAGTTATGAGTGTGATTGTTTCCCTGCAGTTTTGTCAATAGAGTGATTTTATATTGTGGGTTACAACCAATGGTAAGTCATGAATTTAGTGTAATGGTTTATAACCAACATTTAAAACAAACTGAAGTGGTGTAGGACAGAATAAATGCTATCAGATCTCACCATACACAGTTTGATAGATATAAATTTTTTGATATCCCTCCCTTCAAATAATATAAACTCCTTTTCCTTTAAGTGTGGCTGTACTTAGTGACTCATTACTTTTTTTTTTTTTTTTTTTTTAACTCGGGTTATTTGTCTCAAAAAGAAGTCAAGAAAAGAGCAGCCCAAGAATACCATCAGAGATACAGCTTCCAGGCCACCATCCTGGACTTGTAAGTTTTATATTGACATATGTTTGTAAGATGACTTGCATCTCCAAGTCTCTACTCTCCATTCCAAGAAAGAGGGAGAATAAGGAGTTTTTTAAAAAAAGTTTTGCCTTTCTATTCAGGAAGACATGACCTTCCTATAGATGTCTGATTACAGCTTATTGCCAGAACTATATCACATGGCTATCCTCAGGTGTTAGGAAGGTTGAAAATTTGAAAGTTTTAGTAGAGTGCATTTTCTTTTCCCTAAATAGTATTATGATGATCACTTTTTTTTTTTTTTTGGGACGGAGTTTCGCTCTTGTTACCCAGGCTGGAGTGCAGTGGCGCGATCTCGGCTCACCGCAACCTCCACCTCCTGGGTTCAAGCACTTCTCCTGCCTCAGCCTCCTGAGTAGCTGGGACCACAGGCACGCGCCACTATGCCCAGCTAATTTTTTGTAGTTTTTTAGTAGAGACGGGGTTTCACCGTGTTGACCAGGATGGTCTCGATCTCTTGACCTCGTGATCCACCCGCCTTGGCCTCCCAAAGTGCTGGGATTACAGGCTTGAGCCACCGCGCCCGGCCTGATGATCACTTTTAATGAATAGAATGTGACAGAAGTGAAGATGTCTGAAATATTAGGTCAAAAACAGGTATTGACTGTGGCTTTTTTATTGCTCTTTCTCAGTTCAATTATTCTGGGGAAACACAACTCTATGTTGTAGGAAACTAAAGCAACCCTATGAAGGAGCCCACATGGTGAGAAACTAAGACCTCTTGCCAACAGTCATATGCTTGAGGCATCTTGGAAGCAGCTCCAGCTGACATCTTAACTACAACCCCCTAACAGACCTGTATCAGAACTACCCAGCTAATCTGCTTCAAGTTTCTGACTCACAGAAGCTTTGAGAGAATAATTGTTTTAAGCTGCTGAATTTGGGACTAACTTGTTATACAACAATAATAACTAATACACGTAGTAGAAATAAGTATGGGTTCATGAAACATTTATTTCAGTTATATATGAGTGTGTGCTAGGTCTCAGTATAAAATGAATCCATTATCATAGGTTGCAGTAAAAAACAAAATGAAAAATTCTGCACAAAACAAACGAAGAAACAGTTTTCTACTCTGAGGCCTTGTGGCTGCCTTCCATATATATATGAGTTTATTAAGTATCAACTCACACAATCACAAGATCCCACAATAGGCCATCTGCAGGCTAAGGAGCAAGGAGAGCCAGTTTGACCTCCAAAACCGAAGAACTTGGAGTCTGATGTTTGAGGGCAGGAAGCATCCAGCATAGGAGAGAGATGTAGGCTGGGAGGTTAGGCCAGTCTCTCTCTTCACATTTTTCTGCCTACTTATATTCTAGCTATGCTGACAGCTGATTAGACTGTGTTCACCAGATTAAGGGTGGGTCTGCCTTCCCCAGCCCACTGATTCAAATGTTAATCTCCTTTGGCAGCACCCTCACAGACACACCCAGGATCCATACTTTACATCCTTCAATACAAACAAGTTGACACTCAGTGTTAACTATCCCATGGTTGGCCTCACTTCCC